GTTTAAAACTTTAGAAACCATAGGAAATGTTTGATTATAGGGAATTAATTGATAACATTTCACATTACAAAGCACAAGGAAATTGCCATACGCACACTTCTGAGTCGTTTAAAACTTTAGAAACCATAGGAAATGTTTGATTATAGGGAATTAATTGATAACATTTCACGTTACAAAGCATTACAGAATTGCCAGGCACATTTACAGTTTATGTAACACTTTTAGAAATGCTTTGATTATAATAAAATAATCAGTAAACTTTCACATTAAAAAGCATGATATCTTTTAAAGGTCTCACTACTAACGTAGTCCATTCCTATGATATTTGTTTAGTGTAAAATTTCCATTACGATGACATGAAGAAAGATACAAAGACGTTTATACTAACCAGAGAGGTTTTATATACCTTTCTCGTCACTCTGTGTCTAGACTGCTTTTTATCAAATCAGGGCCACCTGAGGTTTTAAATATTTTCCGAAATTTATAGCCCAAGCTGGTTGCAAAGTTGTTTTGTACAAGGACTATAAGTACTAACCGTCCAAAGCTTTGAACTGATAGACTAGATGGAAAGCAACTGGTCAACAGCATTTACCGCCAACTTTTGGGTTACCCTAATCTGAGACACACTGTGCCTTTGCCGAAACTTTTTGAATAAAACTTACTATTCTAAATGTGCCTCTGGTGAAATGTACTTGCCCTGAGACAATTAGGCCGAATATATGATCATTTTAAATATGGGGCTTTACTTAAAATCACATTTTACTTGTCAAGCAGTAATTATTTCGAAATTTTAAATGTCTTGAATTTTTGTGATTAAACTGAAATTTAACAAATTCTGAAATTCCTCACAGGTTTTAAAACAATATGGCAATATGAAGCGTCATCTTTTACCTTAAATTTACAGTTAGTTACAAATACACAACGGTTTTATTTTTCATACATCTTTATTTACAAGTAAGTTGTTTATTGACACGTAATGTGGAAAGAAGTTATTTTATGTGAGGATACACATGAATAACAACTTCAGTTGGACAGTGACCTGAAATATAGTGTGGCAGTAAGGAATCAAAACTACAAGCAGCAAACAACAAAAACAGATAATTTAAATTTTAGGTTAAATCATATCACATTTACACATTTTTATAAAATATTTGTGTTGTAGGAGAACTTCCCGCAGACATAACCACCTATGAAACAGAATTAATTATATTTGAAAAATAACTCTTATAACTAGTTCAAAGATAAACATTTCAGGGAAGTTTAACGTTAATGCACGAAACACGCTTTTTATCATTGAAGCAAATAATCTTTTAAAACACGATTTTTCACACAACGTGTTTTCATTGTTTTAAAAGCAAACATTTTATAAAGCGCAGATTAAACATTGAATTTAACTCTTATGTATTCTCAAAACGTTTCAGGAACTTGCTCGGGTTTTCCATTTTAGTACATTGATAAACTACATTTTCAAAGTACGTTCGTTGGGATTTGGTTGTTTTTTTCAGCGCAGAACTACAAATTTGATTACTTTAAGTACCGTAACCAAAACCAATATTCTACTGAGATGAAACTCAGGTTTCAAGCTATAACTTCCAATTATATATATGTATATATGTGTGTGTGTGTGTGTATGAGAGAGAGAGAGAGAGAGCGAATGAAGAAAGCCAAAGATAAAAAAAAACAAGGATTTCACCTTAGAGTCTATGTGTGTGTGTGTTTTTTATAGCAAAGCTACATCGAGCTATCTGCTATGTCCACCGAAGGGAATCGATCCCCTAATTTTAGCATTGTAAATCCGAAGACTTAACACTGTCTCACTGGGGGGGGGGGCACCTCGGAGTCCTCATAGCTGCTTTTGCTGTATCATTAGCAAGAATATAACACCAAGCTTAACATTAAGTCACCATGAAGAGGGGGCGGGCGTTTTTAAAGTACAGAAAATGAAATGATATCCAGTAAGAGCGTGTATTTGATTTATATTTTTCACTGGCTACTCTTGTATTTGTGTTACGCTGTGACTAGCGGTATTTGAAATGCACGTGAATTTAAGTCATTAATGCAGATAGAATATTTTGATACCATTTTTCAGTCACATACTCTAATTAAAAGAAGAATCCAAGAATATCGTTAAAAGTGTGGTTAGTTTTAATTACTTTCCAATACTAAAGTAAACGCATATTATGTGAATATATTTAATTATTTTATCTCTCTCTCTTTTTTTGGGGGGGGGGGTGAGGGGATTGGGGGAGACGTAGCCTCTAAAGAAGTTCGAGCGATACCGTAGTTTCACTAAGCCTCGTTTTAAGTGGAAATTACCCAGAGCATTAAAATATGTCAAATTCAGCACCGAAGGGTTAAATGGTGGTATGTAATTTTTATTTTGAAAATAATCATGAAAATTAAAGGTTCTAAAAACAATTCAGTGTATAAATTCCGTGAAAGAAAAGAAGAAAATTTGTTGGTAAGCTCAGAATCCTTAAGCCTATCAGTAACTATCTTAGCTAAGCCTTCTTTGTTGCTACAAAAAGCCAGTTGTAATTTTTTTTTGTTATTAAGCACAAAGCTACACAATGAACTATATTTGCTTTGACCTCCACTGGTATCGAATGCCGATTTTTAGCGTTATAAACCCACAGACTTACCGCTGAGCCACCAGGGGGCTAAATGAGTAGAATGTTTGCTCATGGTTTCCAGTCGTGTTTGTTGCTTCAACATCTTTAATTTAAGCAACATATTAATATTAAGTTTCTCCATAACTAGTGGCTTTTTTTTAGTCTGTCGTGCTGTGGAGAAAGTAAGAGTTAATCTACGTTATACGTAATAACTATAATATTAACATTTATAATAAAATAAAATCTTTAACTGCACAAATTGTACATAGTCAAGTTCAATAATCGCTAAAAAAAAGTAATTTAAATGAAAACTTACACAAAAACAATACACTATTCGAAAAAGTGTTTTGTTCAACATTCTAATGTTTCGTAAGTATGAGGATATTTTGAACTTTAGTATAGTTGATTTTTAGCATACAAACTTATCATTACTTGTGCAGCCAACATTAGAATTTTTAGTTAGGAGATTCACGATATGGATGCCAGACTAAAAGCATCCATACTCAAAGTTGCCACTTCGTATGTGACATCTTAGATGACTTACATATTCATGTGAAATAGGCACGTAGCACAATTTGAATAAACCAACCGAAGAGTGTTGTAATACACATATCGTACTTGGTTTCTTTAATACATCAACCAGCATCCCTTTCTAGGGGGAAATCCTTTTCAAACGCTGCAATTAGAAAACCAACACTAGCAATCCGTTGTAGACCTGCTAAAAAGACTGCTTTTCCGGCTACGCGTGAGATAAATCCATGGAAAAAGTACATAATGAATATATATATATAACAAATATTTCCTGTGTTAGGAAATGTGGACAGGAAAATTCTAAACTGTTGGAAGAGTTTTAAAACCGTAGTCATCATCACCATCAGTATCTTTTTTTGTGGATTTCCATTCATTTTCAAGGGACTTGGAGATAGTTCGTCTATCGGACTGATTCGAAAAAATGGTGTAGAGATTATGTCGCTGTTTAGGCCTATTACTGTACGAGTTTCTTAGAGAATTCGTTGTATCCGTTGCTAAAGCTGAAGCAGAAGACTCTGAAAAAAAATAAGGTAAATACTCCTGATCCTTGCAGGTGACAATGGTGGGACGAGCAGGAAGTGGAGGAGGCAAGTCCGTGTCACGGGGTCCTTTTTTGGTAACAAAATCATACATTATTTCTTCGTACACGTGGTAGTCAGCAACACCCGTTGTTTGATGATTTATAATGTTGCCTTCATTCAGCCTAGAAACTGAGGGCCTGTAGTAGTGGCGTGCTGGATTCGTTCCACAATCTGTTTTACAAGCAACGAGGACTCCAGACCTGTCTTCTGAAGGGTCCTTACCGTTTTTTGATGTCGTCACAGAGGCTTGTGTGTTATCACTGTCAGAGTTTCGTTGCTTAATGTCACTCTCTTTCTTTAACTGCAAGTCCTCAATAATCTCAAGCATACATTTGGCTACTTCGGTGAACCGAGACCTGACAACGGAATTCACTGGTTTTTCTTGGTTCTTAGGTTCATGCTTTTGTGCTTGGTTCTTCTCTTCGGAACCAGATTGGTCTGAAGGATGATTTCGTTCATCAGCGCCACTAGTATCTGGAATAGGTTTTCTTTCCGCGCTTTGTGTATTAGACTGTAGCCCACTTTGTTGATCTTTGGCTGTTTCGGGAGGTTTTTCTGAGGAAGAAAAAAGTACAATGAAATACTTCTAAAGCATTGGTATATTTTTAAAAAATATATTATCCCTAACGCAAAAGAATATTGAATGCTTTCCAAAGAAATCGTCCGACATTTTCAGTTTAACAGCGAAGGCACTTTTAAGAAAAGACTTCCATTCGTATTTTTTTATGAAGAATTTTTTTTTATGCTCTTTGAATAAATTAGGAGATTTTGAAATATTCAATGACAAACTACTTGTATACCTTTTGAAGATTCATTAGTAACTGAAAATGTTGTCTAATTTACTTTCAGTAGCTTACGGTATGTACTTGCTTACCTTTAAATTTTTAAATTAAAAAGAGTCCATTAGATAAACGTAATTTAGACCAGTACACTTGGAAAACCTGGAATATATGTTACTAGAAACCTACTTTTTCTCAAAGAAAAAACGCAGAACCTGGAATCTAAACTACTAGCAATTGGACATACGTCGAAGAAAGAAATGCAACAAATTGTCCGCAAATTTGAATTAAAAATATCAAATTAATATAAAAACATGGCTGCAATTACAAAGCATTGAAAATAATGATTTTAAAATGCATCGTAAATCCAGAAAGAAAGTTGAAAATCTTAGTAAAGCTAATACTATGATGTTATGACAGAATATACAGTTCTTTAAACGATTCATCATTATATAATTGTTCGAGCACTATTTTAAAGGAAATCATTTTGTCTTTATCACCTTGAAAATTACGTATGGAATTATATATATATATATATATATATATGTATGT